CAAAAGGACGGGGGCAAAGCAGAATTGCGCCGGGGGCGTAGAGGAACGACGGGGGCGAAGCAGATTTTTTGCGGGGGCGAAGCAGAACGGGGCGGGGGCGAAGCAGAACGGCGGGGGCGAAGAGGAAGGAGTTTCATGGGGATGTCGAGGACTTCTCATCTAGCACTGTGACGTTATAGCTAGTAGTTTCATTATTGTTTCTCTCTCCCCCATCTCGATATAAAAGACGAACTGTAATAGTGTCATTAATTTTCTCTTTCTGGGATCACGAAAGGAGACACTTTGAAATATTCCATCGTCGATAGTCTTTATGTTTTGCTGTGGCTTCGAAGTTCACAGACGGTCATACAAGTCGCCATGGCAACTTAGCGTCACTACAGTTACCAAAAAGACGGAAAGATTATAGGGATGTACAGTATTGTACATTGAGTGCACATAATCATGTTATCTTTAATGTCTGGAATTAACTCGCTAATTCTTTTGCTCAGTCTATTTTTGAGATCAAAGCCATAGGCATTAGAAAGAAAACAAGGAGAATCCAAGTTAAGTGGTTTTAAGAAGATTACATGTACGTGCAAAAAGGCACATTCATGAGAGATGACATTTAGGATAAAAAGAGTGGTGCAAGTACTACTTAATGGATTTCTGGGAAATTCGAATGGATTAGATTCTTCTTTCTGTTAAGTCGTCAGCCACTATCCACATCTTAAGTATGTTTAAGGACTCGCCACACTTTAAGATAAGAGTAGTGTGCGATAACCACAAAACGATATCAGTTCAGTCTTATAGGCTAGCACCTCAATAATAGCCTGTGGCTCGTTTGAATGATGAAAGAACCTCTAGAAAATTCTCTCTCGCAACATTTGATAAGAGATAAGGCAGGTTTGAATTGAAAGCAGTTTGTTCCTGGAATACCGAGTCTTCCAGGAGATCAATAGGAAGTTAGGACGCAATAAAGTGAAGAAAATTACCCTTGACAAGGAGCGTAGAGCTATATTGATTTTCGACTTCCGTTCGATATACTTTAGAAAGCCTGCTTCGCTCGCTGGCGGTCATTTATTATCGGCTCTTTCTCTGGACGAAAAGACTTGTAAGACTGAACTGCTGTTAGGAGGACCAGGGTCACAGTCGAATCTGACCTTGTCTGCCCTTGAGAATCGTTTTTTGGTCACTTTTTGAGAATGATATTACAACTAGTAAGCACTCTACATGTGATGATCCCATGCTGGACATAATCTACTCGTTATAAATTCATTAGGGACACGTTTAGAATATATCTTTGTGGCATCTGAATGAGTGAAATTTTGATCACGTATAGTTCCGTTTTTTATCGCTCATTGTAATTTTGCACGAGTACCGGTGGTGAGGTTTTGCAACCCTCTTTAGACACATTCGCACGCCGGACTGAGCTTTCAGCACACCGGCAATTTCACACTACGAACCATATAATCAGGGATGTGCTTAAGTTGGACTTGTTATTCATATGCCATTATCAGTTAGTTGCTACAGGGAAGCGCTCTTCTAACAGACATCGTTTTGAGACATAGTTTCATGCCGTCTGGTTAGAATCCACGTGTCTATGCCGCTTGCTTCACCCGACGGGGGCACGACCTTTTCACGAACAGTAAGGGCATCGGGGACGCACGCGACGTACTCGGCATAATTAAAGCCACACTTTGTAACATTACTAACATTATGGGCGACAGTGCGAAAGTCAACTTTCTGGCCATTTCTTTACAAAGTAAGTTGAAACAACCCAATAACTCCATTGCAAATAATTGCCATTCAGGAAGTGGAGATTCCAAAATATGACGCCTTACTAGAGTATTTGACGTCGGGAACACAGCTGTTAGTCAGGTTTGTTTACATTCTGGTCGTTTGTGGTGGCACCACAAACTGAGTGCGCCAACCATGAATGTAAAAATGTCAGATAATTGCATATGTATGCAGAAATGTGGAAGTAAATTACAATCACACGAAGATTTCTTCAATTAAAATATTTCAATTTTTGCTGCAAAAACATTACATAATGCCCTTAAGACGCGACGGATTGTCACTGTACATAGATTTGAGACATGATTTAATGAATATTTATGCAGTACTGTCTGGTATACCCATGTGCGACGCGCGTGCACCGACAGGTGCACACAGCAAGGGCACCGCAGACGCACACAGAATACCCAACCTGACGTGATGTAACCGACGTTGTACTTCTTCATTGACATTTCCTGCATACACAGTTCAACTTCACAAAAGAGCATGGGTCGTTTTATACGTTAATGATCGAACTTATTGAACTTTTCCTGCACTTGAACTTATTGGGTTTCGCGTGCAGCTCATGGTTCGTTTGGCGTACTAAATGAAACTGAAACATAACATTAATGCAGCTGCCAAAAGCTATGTTCTCAATGTAACAATGCTGTTCACTTTAAATTTCCTCCCAATGGCTTTAAGCGCAAATGGTGTTTCATTCGATACTTTACTTCGTGATCAGTTTCACACAGAGAGTATAAAGAACTAATATGGAGATCTAATACCCGTAACCTCGTTCAATATATCTATATATCGTGAAGCTTGGTGCCGTTATTAATTTCCATAACAATAGCTGTTACGGAAATAATGTTAAATCTGCTACCAGCCTGCATTTTTTTATTGCAGCGCGAGTATTTCCAAGAAACCCGGCGGGGCACACAAGCGTAACCGATAGCGTTCTGATCGCTCCCCGAAGTCCTATTCCTTCTCAATGTAATACCAGTCGTATTTATCTATTTGGAAGTAGAATACCATAAAAGGTTGAACGCTTATGTTAGCCCATCTTGCTGCATTGCCGTGTCGTTTTCACTGATATTTATTAGCAATAGAGCATTGGTAATAGAGAACGGATGAATTTTTTTATTACGAGAAAAGGGCTTGGGGATACTTTAAATCGTATTGTGGCAAATCTACGACACAGCTGCATATTATGAGACCTAATCCGCCTAACAGCTTGACGACAGTGAAATGGTTTATAATCTGCATACGTCAACAGCATGTGTCTTTGGAATAAATTCAAGGTGGGTGTCCAATGACAAAACTTATGTATATATATCAACGGTGGAATATTGTAAGATTCAACATAATATTATACTTTCTGTCAAAAACATCTCCTGTAGATTCATTCTATATTGCAGATGTGTCTGAAGCTCTTTGGAGGGAACTCAGGGTGGGCGTTCAATGACAAAACTTATATTTTTCAACGGTCGAATATTGGAAGATTTAACAATGTGAAGTTACATTAAGTCAAAATAGCCCCTGAAAGACCATTTGTTTATTCAAAACATTAATAGAAGGGCACGTTATTGTTCCGTATATACATTGTACTATAACAAAACTGTACGTAAACAATTCCTATTCATTTCACTGATGAAAAGCACTGCATGGTGCATGAAACGTCTGAAATTCTAAGATGTATCCAGATATTTAAGACTGCCACATTTGACGCTGCTACATGGCGCACACAACAACATTATTCAATCTATTCCCAAATCTGATGTAATATTCCGCAACAGATTCTTCCGCAATATCTGGGCCCGTCTGTACTTTTTTTTTCTTATAGACAAATTTTTTACCATTGTTATTCTGTGCATTTTTACCTGTATGTTTCATATGGGCGAGTCATGCCTGAAATAAAGAATAAAGAAAGATTTAATCAACACATTATCATATTTCCTGTATGTCTAACTTTCGCAAACGTATCCCCGGGATGATTCATTCTACATTACACTAGAAGTCAACCGTCCGTAATTGTTCTCAAACCGTGACAGCAGGTCATTAAGGAAGCCTAATTGGACTGGGGTCTCCTCGGGTGTTGGATGTATTAATTGGGCGGTAATATTGACATTTCAGAACGTTGTGTGCAGTGTGTGTCTTTCTATCCGTGGTAAGAAGAGAAAGACACCGGTAGATCCAATAGTAACGGTGAGAAACACCCCCAAACCGATCGCTACCTTCTATAATACTTAAATGCTTTATATGTCAAGCACTGTAAACCTAGTAATATGTATTACCCATTTAACAAAGGTGAAAATGAAGGGAATACAAACAGCAAGCTAGTGAAGTCCAGAAGTCCAGTCATGACTTCTCGAGTTATGCTGTTCAAAAACAAACAAATAAAACAAACAAACAAACAAAGCAGCTAACGACCCGCTAGATTAAAGTAAATCCAGTTATTCTTGAGTTATCATGTCCAAAACAAACAAACAAACAAACAAACAAACAAACAATGCAGCTAACAGTCCGCTACTTTGAAGTAAATCCAGTGATTTCTTCCAGTTCCTCACCCCAAACAAACAAACAAACATTCTTCTTGAGCTACCATGAGCTACCATGTCACAAAAATACAAAAAAACAAACCAGCTAACGTCACTAAAAATCTATTCTCGTGGGAAGGAATGCTTGCTACACTCACCTTTCCACGGCGATGGCGGTGAGGGTGAGAGCGGAGCAGGTTCTGGTCAGGAGATGGACGAACGCCACCCCCTTACAGGCGAACAGGCCGAGCTGCCAGTCCTTCAGGAAGAACTCTACCGTCTCCATCGGGGCGAACACCGCCGCCGTCACCAGGTCCGCCATGGCCAGGCTCACCAGGTAGAAGTTGATGCCGGTGCGGAGGCACTTGTTTCGGCAGACCGAGAAGATGACCAGGGAGTTCCCGATGATGCCGACCACGAACGTCAGGGCGCCCGTGATGATGACCGGCAGGGAGATCTCGTACATGGTCAGGATACATGCGGCGCCGCAGAAGCCTACATCGTCCATGAAGCCTAGATCTGTGCGGTTCGTCGTCGACTCGTCCCTGCTCAAGTTCGTCAAGTTTTCTGCAAAGTCGTTCTCACTAGGAGGGTAGGCGGACGTGGGGGAGTCAGTACAGTGGACCGAAGTCATTTTCTCGGATTCTGTCAGGATCGGCTGCAGTACCTACCTCAGCAGACTAGTTTCACCGATCTCGATGCCTCGCTAAGACCGCCCCTGTAGTCTGCAGGCATAACGGCGAGTACGGGAAGCAGAGGCACCTTTTTATACACAGGCGCGCTGCATTATGTGCCGATAGCCCGCCCAATCAGGCGCCACGACGCAGGGTACACGTCAGCCTCCCGGTATACCTAGCCGGAGTACATCACGCCTTCTCTCGCCGTGACGGGCTCAAAGTGTGCGGTGCCTTCAGTTTTTTTGGCTGATAGCGTCAGTTTGTCTTTGTTTCTGACCGGCACCTGCCCACGTTGTAGTGATGAAAGCTGTACGGTTGTTGTTCATTTGCCCACGTAGGCTCTGCATCTAGCCTGAATGCTTTACAGCGTTTGAAGGTTGTTTGATCGACATTTTGCCGTCAGAAACAGCAATTTAGACGCCCACAGACACCACACGGACGATTAATCTCCAATCTTGAATGCCCTACTGGAAATCCAGAGGAAAATATACAGTGTGTGTAACTTGATCAACGTTCACAATTCCTACACACATTACGTTTGACACAACTGAGGCAAACAGATCTCAAGGACAAATGTTTTGAACAAACACAACGCACAAAAGACATTTTTTCCACTGTTTATTCAAATCATGAAAACAAGTACAGGTACAAGTACATATACATACACAGCTACTTTTACTTTTTCCTTCGTACTGAATGTCACATAAAAGCGTGAGCATTGAAGAAAGGACTGCCGCAAGGCATTCCATATTTTCATCTCTAGAGAAATAGATACACGTATTATATTACCGCGTTTCAGCAGCCAGGTTTTGATGCTTGGTGATGCTAATGTGAGTGAACCACCAAGTTTTAACAAGATTGGTGGCATGTCAGGACTCGAACCCGGTATACCTCTTGGTTCCGAGTCCAGCACTCTACGCCATACGACCCCACGTTATTAGATTTATGGGCGGTTCGCGCTCAAAGAACTTCAGAATCTGCAAAACCTTTACTTAAAACCTACAGCCTGGAGTCACAAAGCAATGAAGTTATCACTGGCGTTATGTAAAAGATTACATTATATCTATTTGGTACAGTGTTGTTGGTAACACTACATATGTACTAAACGCAGTGGTCTTTGAAGACATTTCAACATGCAAATGCCATAGGAGCAGCTGCAAAGCCTGGTCTAAATAAATTTTAGCATTGCCTGGCGCCGCTAGGTCGGCAATGAAGTTATCATGAGTTATCACTGCAAGGGTATTATATAAAGGGTATCTGGTACATAATTGGTGCACTACATAGGTGATAATTTCATCATACAATTGAGCTAAGAGTCTCCTTTTCCTGACATTGCCTGCTTGTAAAATTTATGCCTGGAGAACATAGTAGTTTTTGAAGCAGGATATACTCTCTCAACTTGCAAGCGCACTCAATCACCTGGTCTGAAATAATCTTATTTTTGCTTTACAACTCCAGACGGGTTTTTATTCATCAAAGTCTGGATACGTCAGACCTGTTCTTATAGTCACAGACCGAACATCATGGTAAGGAGTGGGTTCAGCAAAACTGCTCAATTCTTAGTAGGAACCCGGTCAAAAACGGGAATCTGATTGTGTCAGTCTCTGTCTGATATGCCTCAAAAACGTTAACAACACAAAGTCTACCTTAAATGACATAGGATGTATCTATATGCAGCTGTATTTGCAATATCTCTGAATAAAAGTGTTGACATTTTTTTATTTAAAATATGGGTCTAAGGCTAATACTGAATATTATCCTGTCATGCATGAGTTCTAGAAACGTCTGCTCTGCTAAAACGTCACATTCCATGTAAGTTGGAGTTTACTAGAAACTTTTTAAGGTAACTGAACTGCCGGTCGATTGAAGGTTGTGTAAGCTAAGAAGTTCTAGACGAATCCCTGGGGTACGTACACTAGCTGTCGGCAATATTCCCCAAAGGCATGTATGTCTTTCTGAACAGTAGCCAACACTGAGAGACAAGCATTTGAATTCCATCCGTCCCTGGAATACGCTTCACCGGGAGTAGTTGGGTCACTTTGCTCCTTTTTCGGCTGAAGGTGTTTAGAGAAAGCCGTTTTCCCAGTTTTAAAGGGCTTTTAGTTTTAGGATGGATGCTGAAGAAAGAGCAATTTGCTCGTGACACAGGACGCCCGATGTTTATTGATTGGCATATGGAATGGAAAATAGATAGCCTCGGTAGCAGGCTCTACGGTTGGGGCTTTTGGAAGGCTTTTATAACGCGTGCAAGGCACAAGACCCAAAGCTCGTCAACTCTGTTCTGCTACATGATGTAACCCAACACCACAGGGTGTTGCTACAACACAAATCACCATCCATGGTGATAGACGTCTGGTCCAGGTCATCGACCTTATTTGTTTGGAACGGAAGAAAAGGAAAACGAAATTGAGCAAAAACAATATAAGGTAAACATGGTTAAAAAGCCGCGGTCGTAGAGCCTACTAGGGAAGCTAGGAATGGACAAGTTTGATGAACTCAAGTCACCCATACCTTCAGCAGGATTTCCAGGTATAGAGTGGATGCTTCTAGATCTGTCCACCCTGAACAAATATTTCCTAGAATTCTCTGATTGTCCCAGGTTACCCCTGTTACAAGCCCACCGCAATGAACCATATATAGCGATACGGAGATGTAAAAAACAGGTACATAGACGGTTATTTGTTCTTGTTACTTGCTTACGGTTAACATGTCAAGCGAAAGGTTACTTTTAATGGGTCCGTGGGTAGTAAGCAGTATGTCCAGTGTAAGTTAGAAACTCGAACAAAAGTTAGATTTAATACATGGTCGATCTCAGAAGTAGGCTAGAGGTAGTCCTAAAAGTCAGACAAAAGTTAGATTTAATACATGGTCGATCTCCGGAGTAGGCCAGAGGTAGTCCTGAAAGTTATGTCTTTGTGCACATAGTTTACAAACTTCCAAACACAACCCGGCAAGTCTTCATCATGACCACAATACAGGATTTTGCCCTCCACCTGTTGAGGTCTTCGCCCGAAGAGCCGATACAATCAACGCCGATTTAAGGAAAAGTAACGCCGGCCTATGACCGACAACTTAAGAACGAGGGCGTACTCCTTTTTCTGCTCTAAAAGCTTATTTCTATCCTGTCATTTCTACCGCAGACCTAGCCGTCTTGTGGGTGCTAGATGTTAATGTGAAGATCACGACGAACACGACAAAGTAGTTCGTAAGGCTAAAACTAAGTCCGTAGTTCAATGAACTCAGCTAAAGAAGAGACAACCCCAACCAATTGAGTGGCCGTTCGTTCAACCCGACAGAAAATTGTTGTTTTGGGCGATGTTTCGCATACTTAACAAAAGTTTAAGTGGGAGTATTTTGAATCTACATGCTCGCAAATTGTGCCAAATTACACGTGCGCGGGTAAGATTCTACTCAACGTAAATATCAGGTATAGGTACCAATTGGCATACGGGTCTGTCTTAACAAGATTCAGCACACAATAACACATTAGGTACTGATTTTCTATAGCATCTCCAATCGGAAATGATCCTGTTTGACACAGCTTCTTCTGAGACAAAATAAGAAGGAAGTTGTTTTCAAAAGCTATCGGCTCATTTTCTTTGAGTTGTATTCAGAGTTATTCAGAAGGGCCGGATGTTTTTCAACAGTGTGTGAATAGAGAAGATACTCGTAGCTGATTTAGCTGGTTTAACTTGAGTCATGGTTGTCTTCGTGTTACACAAGTTCATCCCGAAGAGGGGTTACAGACCCCCATCATGTGAAATGCCCCGGGCGGGGGGAATTAGTTGTCACACAAATCTCCTGTAGTTCCACATGGCATACAAAATGTGAATAGGTTCCGATGGTTCTATCTACGAAATTTGGCTGATTTGAGTTTATGATTCCCTGCTGAATTCGGTTGCTCCTCACAAGTGTAAGAAATTTGTAGACGACACAATTAATTCAGATGTGATTTTTGATAATGGAATGTTTGTTACTGTATCCGAAGTAGCTGCAGCGATTAATTCGCTCCCAAATGGGAAGGCATGTGACTCGGACGGTCTGTCAGCTGAGCACCTGAAGCATGCGGGACCTCGGTTAACCACTTTACTCGCTATTTTATTTTCGTCCATGCTGAGGCATGGCCATGTCCCCTCTGTCCTACTGAAGGTCATCCTTATTCCAATAATCAAAAAGCAGAACTTGAACCCTTCTATCAGAAATAATTATCGTCCCATTGCTATTTCCAGTCCGATCTTCAAATTATTTGAATGTCTCCTGCTCATCCGACTAGAGAAGCACTTGGCTACACCCGCAAATCAGTTTGGTTTTAAAACACATCATGGAACAGACTTGTGCATTTTCGCCCTAAAGGAAATTATTTCCTACTTCAGACGCCGAGGTTCGCCTGTCTTCGTCTGTTTTCTGGACGCTTCTAAAGCGTTTGACAGGGTCAACCATTACACACTGTTTAAAAAGTTAATTGACCGAAATGTACCTGTATACTTAGTACGCATTATTGTATATTGGTTTAGCATGTTAACCTTTAGGGTGCGCTGGGGGTCCTCCGTCTCTGATCACTTCAATTGCAGCAACGGTGTCCCCCAGGGGAGTCTTTTGTCCCCTCTATTGTTCAATGTATATGTCTCTGACCTTAGTGCTAAGTTAAACGCCGCTAATGCGGGCTGCTTTATTGGAAATTTTGCTGTGAACCACCTCTTCTACGCAGATGACTTGTGTTTAATCTGCCCCTCAGCAAAAGCTGTACAGAGACTGATTGATATCTGCGAGGCCTTTGGTACCGATAGTGACATGATTTTCTGTACCAAAAAAACAAATTGTATGTACTTTCCATGTGATCGAATTGCTCTGAACGGAGTGCCACCTGTAGTGAAGTTGTACGGCAAACCCTTACCGTACGTCTCTTCGGCCACCTACCTCGGCTTCCAAATCACTCCCGACCTCTCTGATGATGACTCTATTCGTAAACAAACCAGGCATATGTACACAAAAGCTAATTCACTTATCCGCAAATTTGGTCACTGTTCTCATGCGGTGAAGCGCACTCTGTTCATAGCACATTGCAGTGCAATGTATTGTGCTCAG